TTGTGACGGCTCACCAGGAGGCTACACGATCGTTTCCGCTCCTCATTGCTGTACACAATCTGATTTTCGTCCCTCGTGCTCATGCGTTTTAGAAACGTCTCATTTTCATTTCGTTCGAGCAACGAGTCGCACATGGAGGCGCGGTCCATCGCATTGCGCTCGCTCCTTTCACGAGATATCTAAACATCAAGGCGCTTTACAAAACCAAATGTCTGCAGATGACCATAGATGGTTAATTTCGAAACATCAACCCTTGTCCTACTCCAGGGCAGTGATGTGCCGATTCTCTTCCGTTAACATTTTGAGTTGGTCGTTTAAACAGATGATAGTCTCCCCAAGGGCTGCCGGTTTTCGAAAGCAAATTCACTCTGTTTGGATTCCGCAAACTAGTCATGCACTGTACGTTCCTCTAGGGCATGGCCTACTCAAACGTCATATATCTCTCATGCGGCTTGAGCCGCATTCTAGGCCTTGCGGTAGAAGAAATACTTCAGATGCCGAAGATGCGCGCAGTGGCTCTCCATTTCCATACGAATGGCGCACAGTCAAACTTCGACAAATGTTGACAGAATTTTAATAGAAATATAGAGGAGGATCTACTCTTTCAAAAAACATGTAACTTTATTAGTTTGGATCCTTGATCTTCTGTACAACGGCTGATAAATCCGAGGTATCAAAAGACGGCGGAAACTTTTCGGACAACCCAATAACTTGTACAACGCTTTGCCGTACAGGTTTGTTATAATGGAAACGTTTATTTGGTCGACGTTTCAACAAATCATCGTCTTAAGGACCTGAGAGCAGTCCGGAGCTCCTGATTTGTGTCTTACTCGACCGAGCTTCCAAACACGCTAGCCCAGCTGCAACAGCCCTCAGAAACTCGAACACTAAAAGATTTCAACGAAGAAATCAACCTTCTGTGGTATCACCGACGTTGCCTTCCCCCTCGATTTCGTAAACAACAACAAAAGACCAATGAGACACCGTAAACGGTCGTTGGATAAGAGCTACGCGGTGTTGACAAAGCAGAAATATTCGCCTGTTATGGCAATCCACTTCGGGATAGCCTGGCAAGCCCCTGGAGTCAATAGCCCCCACG